CGCGCGCGCACAGAGACAGAGAGAGAGAGAGAGAGAGAGAGAGAGAGAGCAATGGGAATCCTTGATAGTATGGACACAATTGTGTCCTTGATAGTGAGGTGACCAAAACTTAACCTAAAGATGAAAGAGAAATGCATCACTTTTCATCCTACTCATCACTGTAGATGAGAAGTCGAGATTCGACCACCTTAGTACCAAGAACCAACTTTGCTCTAGGTATCAAGGATACCCATTCTCTCATGTGTGTGAAAAAGCGAGTACGAGGTGGCAGCTAAACTTTCTAATTGCACTACCAAGAGATGGACTAGTGGTGAGACCCACTGCTAGCCACCTCCAGTGTCCAGATCCTTTTATCTCTTCGTACCTTGTTAAACAAAATCACGTTGCCGCTCATAAATAGTAATCATACAAACAATACATATTCATCATAGTGATACCTGGTTGCCGATGTTTGTCTCTTCCGTTTGCCATTCTGTTGTGCCACAGCATCTGAGGTTCCAGAACCAGCTAAAGCATTACTTGTTGCCCTACATGAACAATTCATTACTATTCATTTCATGCTTAAGGAAAGCAAAATGAAGGTCGATAATGTGGAAAGAATCTCAGTATAAATACCTGTTGTCAACCTTATTTAAGATAAACACCTCAATTGACGACATAGCTTGAGTATTATAATTGACCATTCTTTGCAGATCCTTGTCATTAGATATTGTAATAAGAACTCGTCTGTTGCTCGGGAGAAAATACTTAATACACATACCGCTGATGTCAATTTCAAATGTTGAAGCTATCTCCGACTTGAAATCCTCTAAGAGCATGTCACGTCCAACGTCAATAGCACGAGCATCTCCTCCAGTATAAGACAGAGATCCATCACTCTTTGTGACAAACTCCCCGCCATACTGGCAAATGGCCACAACAGACCCTACTACCATTGTCGGCAAGTGCCTATATATATAAGGAGAAAAAACCATGAACTCATGAAAATAATTAACATAGCATGACAATTTTAATGTTATGTTATAGCATATCAACGTTCCATTAAAATACAACCAAAATCCTTGCTTGCCATACTTAAAACATTATTATAAGGGAAAACTTTTATGTCCACAAAAAAGGTGGAGCTATCACAACCTTTCTACTGGGGGGAAATAAGGGTGCCTTTTGAAGGAAAACAATTCACAATGCCAACTCAGGAGAAGCAACATGTTATCCGGAAGAACAAGTCACCTATAGGCATTAGAAAATTCAGAGTTGGTGTTAGTTATCAGGATACTGCAAAATTTTCCCATCTCAGCGCTCTATTAGTAGATTTCACTCTATATGGTAGATGTCACTCTATATATACGTCTCCACCTGTATCAGAATCCACGTATCCAATCAACTTAGGCTCGTCATTTTTTTAACTTTATTTCCAACCTTAAGTGCCCTAGAGATACCTCAATATCTGCTTCACCACGTTCCAATATTCTTTACCCGGATTGGATAAGAACCCGCTAACCATACCAACTACATGATCATATATATGGCCTTGTGCAAATCATCACATACATCAAACTTCCTACTGCCAATAAATAAAGAACTTCACTCATGTTTCCTTCTCCTCAACCATAAGTAAGGATGGAAATGAGTAAGGATGGAAATGGACTGATAATTAATAAAATGTTTGATTACTATTCGGTCATATTCTATTAGATAGTTCATTTAATAGTAAACAAATATTTTTTAGTATTTGCCTCATAATAAATAGACTTTAACCAGATATATTCGATTCAGTTTATCATTACATATTCGTTCATGTTTTACATCTAAATTTTATAAATTTAAATCATAACAAACTATATTCATCTTATTAAATTATGTTTAGATGTATAATAAGACCACAAATGTGACAGAATATCAAGTAAGTTTAGGTGTAAATAAATAAAAGATACAATTTTGAAAGGAAAATTTAAAAATAGATGTAAATTAAAGGGTATATACAGAAAAACCATCATCAACATAAACGAGAGAATAAAATGTTGGTAATAAATTCGAACCCTTGACCAATTAGAACACATATTCACACCTTACCATCTAGCTAAAGGATATTCGTGAATAATTAGCGAATAATCTAGTATTTAACCGAATCGAATATGAAAATCTTTCAATATTCGACTCAAATTTAAATTCGGACTACCATACCGAGAATTTAGTCGACTACAAATTCGAATATCATCATATTCGAATTGATTCAATCATTTATCACCCCGAACCAAAAGGACATGTTCTCCTCAAAGACACTAGATGAATGACTTAGATTTCCATTCGTATGAAGTAATTAGATAGTAAAATTAAGTGTGCATATGTGCTCACGGTTTTTTCTTTTCCTTCTCTTCCCACGGCTATTTAGGTGATTCTGGGTTAGGATGTGCCAAGATGTGGGTCTAAGTGCTTTCAATGTGTGTGGGGGTTGGGTGAGGGAGGATTAATCGATTAAGTATCAGAAAGAAAAAGAGAAACAAAAAAAAAGAAAGGAAAGAAAATAGACTCCTGATAAATTACATGAGAAAGGTATAATATAGTAATATACACATGGAAGGCCATATTAAAATTATGTAGCAGACATGATTGACTTACAGAGATATTTGATGCCAAAATTATTGCAAGAAAAAGTATGTACTGCAGGTTAGCCCACAAATAATCACAGACACAACTCCTTCAAAAGCAGAACCCAGTACATGGTTAGATAATTATGATGCCAAGAAACCAAACAAATGAGCCCAAGATTATTGAGTTCTGTAGTTATAACTGAATGTTAGTGTATTGAGTAGGGAGCAGTAGAGAAGTTAATTTGCAGGAAGCCTTTGTAGAGAGATGAAATGATAGTAATGTCTCTTATGCATGAATGAATAGTTTGCAGTAAGCCTTTGTCGAGAGATGAAATGATAGTAATGTCTCTTATGCATGAATGAAGTTAATCTATCTTTAATCTAATTATTTCTTCTTCCTTTGCTGATCTCTCTTCTACAACCTCTTCTTATTCTTATCTATTCTCTCTCAATTCTCTCTCATCCTATGATTTCCATCTCTATTTTGCCTATTTCTAGGTTTTTTCCACTCTAATCTTTTCTCTAAGTTCAAGACAATATGATTGAACTTGACTTGCGTGTGGTCAGGAAATGTTCCTAACAACTTGGTATCAGAGCAGGTGATTACTGAGGAGATCGTGCATTCTCAGTCTGCAACAGTAAGATAAATCATCTCAGAGGCATTGTGGAGCAAAAAGAAGTACACTTGAAGATGTTGGGTGAAAGGGTCGATGGGCTGTAACAAATAATGTTGAGACTATTTATCCAGATCACTGGATTTGTGTACCAATTTGGCAAGATAACTGGTGTCAAGGGCAAGACACCACAAGAGTCAGTTTTTGGGCTGTCCTCCACAACTCTATGTGAATACACCACTACAATTGGTCATGAATGCAACACGCAGCACAATATCCATCTTCTCAAACAGTTTGATTCCTGTCATGATACGATTGGGACCATAAACAAAGTGCATGCAAGATTTTCCTCTGTCCAGTAGAGAGAAAATCCATAGTTGGATTTACCGTGTGCATCAACTTATAGATTTCTACTCCATACTGGAAAAATATGTTCTCAACCACTGATGCAAGATGAAGAATTTATTCATCCTGGAGAGAGCACCATCTGATGATGGTGATGGAGGACAAGATTGAGGTCTGATATCAATTGGGCTCGAGAGCGAGCCCCTTCTTAAGGGGAAGGATTGTCATGAAACGAACCAAAGGAGCCCAGGAGTATTGAGTTCAGTAGTTATAATTGAATGCCGGTACAAGAGAGGGAGTAGTTAGAGAAGTTAGTTTGCAGTAAGCCTTATACGTAGAGAGATGGAATTAATGAATTAATGTATTTTCCTTGTGTATGAATGAAGTTAATATACCTCTAATCTAACTATCCTTCTTCCCTTGCTAATCTCTCTTCAACCTCTAACTATTCTCATCAATCCTATCTCAAGTCTCTCTCAATCCTATGATTTCCATCTCTATTTTTTCTATTTCCTGTTCTTTTACTACTGTAGTCTTTTTTTTCCTAATTTCAAGACAATATGATTGAATTCGGATGAGCGTGCGGTCGAGAAATGTACCTAGCATCTGACTATAAACTACTACTACTAATATAAAGTGTAATACTTATGTAACAATAAGCACATGCAAATATTGCCTGCATGCAAATGCATAATCACAAGTTTCCAATAACATGATAAGTGATAACATATAATGTGAAGTTACATATATGTTAATATTAAGTTATGATACAATTTCAAACTTCACATTAGGAAATGGCATTGGGCTCTTCAAGACTTCCAACATCCTTCATAATGCTCAATCTGTCTCATTATCATACCAAAAGATACTCTCAGAAATTCACAGGTCACTAACATCTTCTTTCCCCTTAAAACATAATTGAGAGTAAATTAAAAGGTCACTAGAACTGGTTGTTCACAACCCTCCCCCATTTAACAACACGCTTTTGATCATCATCAAGCACACCTTTCTATGACACATTTCCACAGTTCCTTCCAGATTATATCCACCCATTTTTTCTCAAGCAGCAATTAGAGCTCATATATTTTTCTCTAATTACCACATATTACCTTTATTTATACTTGTTTTACATAAATTACATACAATTTTCCAAGTCATCCCAAAAGAGGACTTCAAACAAAGTAAATTTGAGCACCATAATTTTATCGGAACTAGTATTTCCCCTTCTCATCCGATTCTAATTTTGACGACAGATCCATTTGTATCCAAATGACCTACGTACGTAGTTTTACAAACTAAAATATGCGAAAATATAACTACAACTTGACCATAACTAATATTTCAGTCAAATTCAAAGCCAAATAAGGCCCTAAAATCAAAGAAGGTGCCTCTCAGCGACAGGATAAAGGGATGTTTATCAAGAAAAAGAAGGTACAGTTTAACAATAATAAATACTGATCCTATTACTCAACACAACTTAATACTTCAAATGATTTGAGTAGTTAATCTTGTTTCCATCTTCCAGTCTTCTTCACTTCATTGCTAAAAGAAAACCGTGCAAAAGACCGATCAAGAAGGAGCTTTCTGTCAAAACATTTAAATAAAAATATTTACAAAAAACTCCTTGATAGCAGTTCTTCCCGAAAAACTAAAACAAGCAACCAGCTTGCTAGTATTATTCATCATAAACAAGGAGTAATATGCTAAAAACCCTAAAAAGCTCCCGGCTTTTTAATTAAGCTATTTCTTATGCCAATTTACAAAATAAACCCTAAATCTAAACAAACCCGAGCAAAAGAGAAACTTGACAGACTACTCAATTCTCAACTCGAGATCGATTGAGCCCCAAAAGATTGGGGTTTCTTAGGGTTTGTGTAATAAGAATCTAAAGGAGAGAAATTACCGAAAGGATGAGCTCTTCTCTGCCTTCGATTTGTTGGAATTTTAAGCTGGAAAAAAAAAGGCGGAGGCTTTGAGGACAGAGAGAACCCTAGCGAAAAGGATTTTGCACAAAGAAACGATGAGGGCCATATTTTCATATATACCCCTCGAAACAATATCTTCTATCATATTTACATGTCTGACCCTGTTGCTATTTTGATATTAACAATAGGGGTGGTAAATGATCGAATCGAATACTAAGTTGTTCATATTTGTATTTGTTTAAAATTATCGAATTCGAATGCGGACTCTATTATTCATATATCTAGTTTTTCGAATTTGAACTCGAATACTTGGTATTTGATAAATATTCATGAATATTCACAAATACTTATTGAATATCAAAGTATATTTATTTCGCTAAAGAGTTTAATTTTCAAATAGTATTAAAATTTATAAATTAAAATTATTTCTTTATAATATATGATGTATATATATTTAAATCAAAATTTTAATTAGAAAACAGATTTAAGATTATTTAAGTCTTAAAATCTATATATAAAACTTAAGTAGAAATGGTAAGTGGGTTAAAAATATGACATCATATGTGCAATAATACAAATAATAAACTGTGATCAAATTTTAAACGAATATTTAATAGACAAACGAATCAAATATACATCTGGTTAAATTCTATTCGTTAATAAACTCGAATACTAAAAAATATTTATTTAGTGATAAATGAACTATCGAATCGAATATGACCGAATAGTTATTCAAACAATTATCGAACCATTTATTAATTATTTGGTTCATTTCCACCCCTAATTAACAATATTCATATTCATATTCATATTCATATTCATATGCCTATTTTCCCAAAAAAAAATGATGTACGACTTTAAAAAATGCAATATGCCCTTATTCGCACATGCTATGCATGCTCCAGATTTGGAGTTTTCTTGCTATGATTTTATTACTAATTGTATTTGTAAAGTCGATACTTTTAAATATGAAAATAAATAGCGTATTTGAGGCATTAGTCCCTCAATCTCATTTACTTCGAAAGAGATCCTCAAACGGTAATACTAGAAGTTTGTTATGATAAATTAGTCCCTCTATTTTAAATAATGTTAGTTTAACCTTAAGTGAAGTAAACGATATTTACTTTTCTATATTTTTGTTACACCCTCATCTTTTAACAACTACGAAACAAAGTGGAAGGATTAAAATCATATTGGTAGAAAGTCAATAAAGGTGATTTTTCACCTCCATGCACATATTTCCCCTCCATTCTTGCCCTCAAAAAACTCTTCCATGCGATGAATATTTCACCTCACTAGGGACAAACAGTTGTTCAATATTCATATATAATAACAAAAAAAGTCATAAAAAATTCTATTGTACAAGTTGGGAACAAAAAGTTGTTCGCGTAACTCAAAAAATATATACAAGGTTTATAGAAAAATGATTTTTAACTCCATTTCTAGTTTTTTGCTATTGTTTTCCATGAACTGCAAAAAGTTGCCTTAAGTAAGATACAATTATAAAAAGTATGCTTCTTAACAAATTTCCAATTTAAAATTTAAGTCGTTCTTACTTGCAATTTGCCAAAAGAAGGAAGTGTAAATTATACTAAACCCCCAAGAACTTTCGGTATTTTCCATATAACCCAATAACTTTTGCATTTTGTAGATAACCCCCATAAATTAGAACTTAAAAAACAACATAAAAAGGCATTTTAAAATTTATTATGTTTTTTAGGGTAATTTATCCAAAATATATTGGGGATTTTCTACAAAAGTCAGAGGGGTTTAGCACGATATGAAAGTTGTTGGCGGCTTACTGCAAAATGGTGAAAGTTCTTAAGGGTTTAGTGTAATTTACTCAAGAAGGAAAGTGATATTTCGCAAAGCCTGTCATAGTTTTTCGTAATTTTTAGTAAAACCCGACCCATTAACCCGTTAAGCTCAAACCGATTGCTATAACCCAAAGAGTCTTTGTCGGATAACACCATCGCAGAGATGGGTTCTCCTTCACTGTTGCTGCTCAACTCCTGCGGCCGCCTCCAGCTGCAACCGTCTCCCTTCACGAGTCCCCTCAAAATGTCAAGCCCACATTCTGTAATCCCCTTCAAAGCTTCAATCTTTGGTTGTGTTTCTTTATTTGTTCATGATTTTTGTTTAATGCGTTCATGTGGTTGGTAAAGTTTTGATTTTGGGCTGACTGCATAGATTTTGAGGGATAATCATTGATGGGTTTTATATTGATTATATTTGTAGAATTAAGTCGTGGTTGAAGTAGCAGAAATTGTTAAGAAAATTGGGCAAAAGGAGGACTGCTTCGAGAATATTTTGTTGGTTATCTGTATATGTTCATGATTTTTGTTTAATGTTTCATGTAGTTGGTAAAGTTTAGACCTTTGAGCTAATCGAAGAGAGTTTGAGGAATAATTGTTCATGGGTTTTTTTTCATGTGTTTAAGAAAATAGACAAAGAGAGGATTGGTTAACATGCTTGAAAAATGCCGTTATGATTTCTCGATATTTGGGAAAATAAACAAAGAGAGGGTTGTGTATCATATGTTTCCTTCTCTCTATTTGTTTTTCGTTTTAGTGCGAGTCTATGATCAGTCACTAAATCTATAAGCATGAGAAGCTTTTTTGCTCATATCATAAATTTCGCAAACATATTAAATTTGAATATTACCTTTGGAGTTGTGGATATAAGTAAAAGTATTCCTAGTGCTGGTGCCGGCTGACGATATCTTTCTAGTGAGAATAGCTGCCGAAGCAATTTAATCCATGGAATTTAACTATCTCAACTGACATCTCACCACTGGTAGATGTCCCATAACAGCTTGTTATTTATCAGCCGACAGTGTTTATAAGTTTCAATGTTGTTTACCAGTTAATGCACTTCTTTATCATTTATATGCTGTAATACTCTCTGTAAACACTTCGTTGAAATATTTGCAGCAAAAAAGACCGATATCTCATCAAAGAGCTACCAAAGTGCTGGCTTTCTATGGCCTGACAACGCCACCATATAAATTAGTAAGCAGACTTTTCTACGTACTCTAACTGCATTCAGACTTCTTTTATGAATAAGAAATTCAAGAGAAATTTTGATGACTACTTATCTTTCACAATGTCCTTTAGTTGGTAATATTCTCCTTCAATCATTTTAACTTCTTTTTTATTCTTTCAAGAATGCATTGGAGCCGCACATGAGCCAGAGGACACTGGAGCTACACTGGGGAAAACATCATCAAAATTATGTAGAAAGTTTGAACAAGCAGCTTGTAAACAATCCATTATATGGCCACACTATGGAGGAACTAATTAAAGTAACTTACAACAACGGCAACCCGTTACCAGAATTCAACAATGCTGCTCAGGTCAATGTTTAAGAGTTTTAGATTCCTGTGTTTTCATCCTAGAATTTGCTCTTTTCTTCCAGCATAATTTGTGTTAATTAAATTCTTCCTCTAATAATATGCAGGTTTGGAACCATGATTTCTTCTGGGAATCAATGCAACCAGATGGTGGGAAATTTCCTTGGGGAGGTGTACTTCAACAGATAGAAAAGGATTTTGGATCATTTTCCAAATTTAAAGATGAATTTGTACAGTCTGCGGTTTCTCTCTTTGGATCTGGCTGGGTGTGGCTTACATGTGAGTGATATTTGTTTTACTCCCACAATTATATTTGGATACAACATAAAGGAGTAGGGGAGGAATGATTGAAGTAAACCCAAGGGGACAGGATGGAAAGGAAGTGGATGGAATGAAATTGATTTTGCTTGGATAGACAGGAAGGGGAAGAGAGAGTATGTTATAATTTGAGTTTGTTTAGGTTAGAGAATGGAAAATGAATGGATACTAAATGACCAATTTGCTTAATTTTAACCCTCCCCTCTCTTCCCATTACTAATTAAAAATTGTAAACAAACACTGCTTTTGGAGGGTTTGCATTATAACCTTCCTACCCCTTCCCTCCCCTCCTAGAAAAACCTATCCAAGCTCACTGTAGTTTCTAGAACTCTTGATCATCTAGCGCAAAAGAAAATTCCTGAGTAATCTTTGGGTTGCTAAAGATGGTCCTTAATAGAGCTCTTGAGAAAAATTATTCATGTAAGTAAACTCAAAAAGTAAAGTTGAAAATGTGCTAAATGGATACATGATGCATGTGTCAAGTGCCATTTTATGAAAAAATTTCGACATGGGGACAAACTTTTAATGCTATAAGTATACATGCCGAAGTGCATGTTGTATGTAACGATCGAGTAATCCACTCAACTAATCCTTGCAATGACTTAAATAACAGTTGCTGACAGAATAAGGTACCGATTACTTAACATTTGCTGACAGAATATGGTACCGATTACTTAATTATGTAAAAATTCCAATGCTTTAATGATTTTATATGTTACATGTTGGATCAGAATTTTAAGTGCATTATAATCTATTAACCAATGCAGAATTCACTTTCCTGTACTTTTCCACAAATACACCCTCCTCTGATAACAAATAGCTCACAACTCCTAAATTATTCATACAACCCCATACTGATTGTTAGCATTGAAAAAAATAAGAGCCATTAAAATCCATTTCATAGCTCAATAGAAATTTTAGTTTTCTACTTATACACAACATACAGATAGAGTTGACATTTTAATATACAATAGTTGAAATTTACTGCATTTTATAACCTTAACTTGTTGGGTAGTGACTGCATATTTGATTTCACCAAGCTCTTCACTCAGAATTCTCTGGCATCTGATAAAACTTTGATAACGTGAGAATTGACCTATGGTTGTGGGTGATAGAAAAAGAAGGTCTGATTATATTTCAATCACAATTTACCATGCTCTGCAGTACCCATCATGTGATTTAATGTGGTGCACTGCCGTTCTGTTTATTTCAGTGAAAACCGAGGAGAAAAGGCTTGCAGTTGTGAGAACATCAAATGCTGTTAGTCCACTAGTTTGGGGTGATATTGTATGTTAATCTCCATCCAGAATCTCAGTGTACTTCTGATGAATTCTTACATTATTGATCCTTAATCTAATTTTAATCATGTCATTTGCAGCCAATCATCTGTTTGGATATGTGGGAGGTAATCAAAATTTCAATTTGATTTTATTTCTTATTATCCATCTTACAGTACTAACAAAGGCCCTTTCTTTCCATTTGACAGCATGCATACTATCTAGACTACAAGGTACTAAACCAATTCTCTAATCTTTTAATATTAGCTGCATATACTATATAGTAAACAATATCAAGAACATTACAGAGATTTTGATGATAACTAATGCTTACCATTAGGTGTCAATGATTTTCAATGATGTAAACATTGTAGAAGTTCGATGAGTTATTTTCACTTTAATACCCTAAATTCATGCCATTTTGACTTCTATTCCCAAGAGTTTCAACTCAGTGAAAATGGTACACTAAAATTTCACCTATTTTGCATCTTGGTACTTTCTCTTAAGTTGACCATTAAGAGGTTCCATTAGACGTATTTCATGACTATCATGTGATTACTTTTGGACACCTTTACCCTTGTTTCAAAAGAGTACCTCAGGCCATCTTTTTCTCGACGTCAATTTAAGTGGTCATTAAAAGGACAAAAATGTCATTTTTCATCTTCACTGTTAATTGCCTCTTAAAAGATGCAGATTCAGATTTCATGGTACCTTCTGGACAAATTTAAACTTCTGGTTAGTTGAATCAAAAATGGGTGAGAATCTGGAGTATTCCAAAAGTGAAAGGAAAAAAAACGTATGCATTTGTGAGAAAAAAGTGACATAAAAGTCCAGGTTGAAGCTTTTAATTTGCTAAATGTGTTGCACAGGATGACAGAGAAACATATGCAACCACATTCGTGGACCATCTTGTGTCCTGGCAATCTGCTACTGTGCGTATGTCTCGAGCTGAGGCTTTTGTTAATCTTGGGGAGCCAAAGATCCCAGTGGCGTAAAAGTCTGAAGAGCTATTTTCTTATGAAATGTGTGTGCACCAAGATGATTGATCAAATCGGTGAGCTGCCACAAGTTCTTATTCTTCTAGAGTAATTGCACAAGGGGCAATGAATTTCCAAGTGAAAGGATCACGATTAGTATTACATGTTTCGCTGAATGAAAATAGTAAGAACAGCACAAGGGGCATTGAATTTCAACTGAAAGGATCACGATTAGTATTACATGTTTCGCTGAATGAAAATAGTAAGAACAACAACAAATTGTTTACAATCATTGAGGAAGTAATATCCAAAGTTCTATAGGGTAAATTTCACAGAACTACCATGAAATATTGGGGGTTTGGCACAAAAGTACCATAGACTATGAGAAAAATACCACAACTTTCAAAGTAGTACTAAAATACCGTATACTATCTGCAAACTATATAATAATTTTATGATAATACCTGATAGTCCACGGTAATTATTTAGCAATAACGTGAAGTTCATGCTAGTTTCGTGACTGTATGTGATATTAATGGTTGTTTTGTAAAACATAAACAGAAGTTCATGGTATTAAATTCACAACTAGTTTTTTTTGTATGTATGTTGTATTTTTCTGCTTACTTGAAAGGTTGTGATATTTTTCTCAAATAAAAATAGTTTATGCCTTTATGGTATGTTTGTGCAAAACCCTTAATAGTTCATTGTAATTTTATGAAATTTACCCTTGTAGTAATTACTTAATATAATTTAGGATGACGACTATCACCTCTTTTTAACTTAAAAGTTCATCTAATTGCATATTTTGGTAAAGGTATTTTCTTATAGCTGATATTTGCAAAAGATTCAAATCTAAACATTGTTCTGTATTTCGTCTTCAGAATGGAGCTTTGAGCTAGCTGTCACGAGGACCAATAATGAGAGAAAACCAGATTTTGTGATAGGCAATATTTCCAAGTGAATGATTGAAGAAATGCGTTAAAGCCTGAAGATGAAGAACAAATTGGAAATTACTCAAAGAGACAAAGGAATGAAAATTGATACCCAGGCTAATTCTAGGGAGAGGGTAGGTTTCTCTTTTGGGCCCGTTTTCATTGGTTAACTGCTTTTTGATTGTGGGGAATTTTCTTCGATAGCCCATTGACATGTATAAGAGGATGGATACGATTGTATAACTAAACTTTTGCGTCTGTAACTTGCATTGCCTCTTGACGTGAATTCAACTCCTTGAAGTTATGGGAGGTTGTGAGTATAAATTCATCATCTGAGGCTTCTGAGCTCCACAGTGATCAATAGTTGCAAGAAAAAATATTGATTATTATTTTTGGGTTGTTTCGTTGATTATGGGGCATAATGGCTTTCAGTTATACAAAAACAATAAACTTGCTTGCCCTAGTTTTATCAAGCTACCACATTTTGTGCAATGAAAGGAGAGAAAATTCCGCACGTTTGGCAAAACTAAAATTTCACATGAATGCCAATACGATTGAGTTTTATGGCTTTGATAAAGTTGATGCAAGAAATGCATATTATAGTTTGTTATGACCCCAGAAGTAGGATACTGTAATTTTTCTCCTACATCCGAAGCCTACTCTTTATATGAATAAACTTCAGTAACATTTGCTTCCTGTATTAAGATCAATCCTACGTAATTCACAGTTGTTCACCAGCGTTTTACCCTGATATGTTATAGCAATAATTGAACTGTCGCCCAAACCCTTCAATACAAAATATGCACAGAGAAGACAGCAGTAAGAAAATCATTGCAACCCCTTTGGTAATAAACAAGGCACC